AGATATATTGTGCCTTTTGTATATTGTATATTTGTATATAAACATATTTTACATAAAATATTGTAATAATGTAGTCTATTAATATAAACAATAAATAAAACTTCAGAGAATGTTTATTTTATTTAATAAATTTTTCACACCTCGTTATTTCTTTTGACATTGTTTAAATTATTTTAATATTTTAGTATTAATAAAATTATATTGTTTTTTACAAATAAAAATTTTATGTAGTATTAATTAAGCAAAATGGCACATAAATATGAAAAAAAATTGTATCTATATATACATATATGCGTATTTATATAATACATTGGTATATTTATTTGTAATATAAATTTTATACAAAGTAAAGCACAATGCACATACCTATTTCGTATAACTTACTTAATAAAATGCACAGTATTTACATTTTTGCAAAAAAATATATAAGATAAATTTTTCTTATTGCAAATGTTTGAAATTTTGCAGTTCAGTGTAATAAATGATACATTACGATATTTATAACACATAAATGTTACACTTATTTAAACATCACATTGGAAATTTACCTATTAATTATATTTTTTATAACTATTATATTTAAATTACATTTCTTTATAACTATTAGCATACTTCATATATTACAGTAATATTTACATATATTTTTCATTGATAATGTATAATATCAAAAACGTACAAAAGTGAAAATATAATTATATATTTTTCAAAAAACTTGAGATATGTAATCACCCAAACGAAGGGGCATAGAAAATTTCTATATAATTTTTACCAAAATTTTGTATCAAATACATCGAAATATCAATTCGAAAAATAAATTACATAACTAGTTAGTTTTATATCTATTTTGCTTTTGTATTGCATGGCAATAATACAAAGTGAAAAATCGCTTTTACAGTCGAATCAACTATAACGCATTATTAATTTTATTGTAATCAAGAATTTACATTAATATTATAATGATATACATATAATAATCATAGTAGATATTTAATACTCTAATTTTTTGAAATTTTATATTGAATTAATAAATATATTATATATATTTTTTATTAACTAAATGTTCAATTTATATTTTTAATTATTTTTTTATACGTCATGAATATTAAATTATATATGCGTTATAGTAAAAACGATTGTATTAAACGATACTAAATATTTATTTGTAATATTGAGCGCATTTTGGGATTTTGGCGGAATGTAACAAGTTGTTTTACTTGTAGATATTATGCATAATAGAATAAAATATTTTCTCAGAATATATATATATATATATATATATATATAACATGTGCGCGCTT